AGCCCTGTTTTTGCAGGGGCTGATTCTGCTTTTCTGGCAGACTACAGCGCCGCTTACAGGCCTGGCATATGTACTACAGCATCTCCAGCACTTTCGAGCGGTCTCTCATTCCCCTGATAGGTGGAGAGTTGTCCATATAGGCGGAGCACCCCTTTTCTGACGTCAGAAACATTCAAATAATAATCAGCTCCGTTGCAGCCCCGTTTTTAGAGATTTGGGTACGGAGGAAAAGAGAGAGGGTTGTGTTTGCTGACACTTGGTGAGTTCCCTGACACACCGGGGACACATATTCATGTATAAAAGACTTACAAAAGTGCATTTAGCATGATAGGTCCCCTTTAAGGAAATATCTGAATGCTTCCTCCACCGCTGGTCATCATTAGTATTCTGACTCTGCAGCTTGTGGCTGGTAGTTAGTGCCAGATGTCCCCCCCCTCCTCCTCCATGCAGGGAAACCCCATGCAACAGCCGGCCATTCATCCACTATGAGCACATCAGGAGGCTCCTGTTGGCAGCTTATGCCAATCTGACAACCCGCTGATGGTGACTTTATGATGTCTCAGCATGACACCTCTTCACAGAGAGACATCTCTCTCAAAGCCTAACGGGACGCGTTACAATGAAGGCGCTCTAAAAATGTGTATGGAGTTGGATCTATTGTACTGTTTGTTTGGAGCTGTTGTTGTGGGAAGTAATGAGGGGGATGTTTACTGAACAGAAAATGAGTGAGTCCCTAACAAGCCTGTTAGAGCTTTGACAACATACTGTGTTTGTGTCCTTCTTATCTTCAGTATTGTAGTGTGGACTGTGCTGTGAGTTAATGCATTTTTTTTATTTGTGGACGGACGGTGGATGAAGTTATTTGGTCGTTACTCTGGGCACCAGAAAGCATGCATACCTTCAAAATATCATTCTGCAGTGGCTAAAATAAGAGACAGCCGGTCTCGCTCTGTATTCAGGTAGCGCAGCAGGCATGCTTCACATAAATACAAATTTCTTTGAACAATTAGTACACCTTTTACATCGAGAGTATTGCAGTCTTTGGTCATTTTTCTGACTGAACAAGTCTGTTTCTGTATGTGGTAATGCTGTCATATAACATTTGTATTATCTTAATTTGTGATATAATATTCATATACAAACAACGTAGGTTTTTTTTTTCTTTAAAGCTTAGTTATTAGTACTAAGCTCGCTATTCCCAATCCAATATGCATATTTATTTTGCACGGATAAGACATGCTGAAGAAAGCTACGACTGAAAAGCAAGACCAAGTAAAAGATTCAGTTGAAAATGTTAACAAGCTACTGCCATCTTAAGGGAGGAAAACAGCATAGCAACAAGAGGCAGCTGTGAACACTCAGCCTACATATACAATAGATAGATGCTGTTAAAAGCTTTGTTGCAAAAGTATTTGAGTATTCATTTAATACTCAAATACTGAGAAATGTAAAACAAGTATTTAATCCCCTACCAATTATACCTGGATTGTTATAAATATGACAAGTAACATAAGCAGTAGTACAATAAAGAAAGGACAGTGCCACATCTGTTTGAAGATATTTAGGAAACCATTACTTTATTTTGATCTTTTCACACTTCAAATATTCAGACAATTATAAACAAAGGCAGACCGTTTATTCATCATTAGGTTCCTCTGGAGTCAAAACTGCCCCCAAAATACAGAGGATACCATAACCACTGTGGATGTTCAAACATTGATTCTCAGAGAAAGACACGACACCAGTCCTGGACTTTTCTTAACATTTAAATAACAAAGGGCTATTACTCACACACAGCAGAACCATAACATATGCCATTTTTCAATTGCACAAAGAAAAAGTGACCAGCGTCTGCAGACAAGAAATACAAACATCCATTAAGGAACTGTGCGCTATCCATCTATTAGTTTTGATTGAAATACAACATGAGGGATAGGCTTCTAATGAGACTTTAACCACAGAACTCAAGGCAACCCATACAAGATGGAAGAACAACAATGATATGATTTCATTATAATAAGAAAAGAAACAATGGAAAAAAGAAAGTTGGATTTACCAAGGCTAATGCAATGTTGTCATGCTGTTATTCACTCATCTAACACTGTGTCACAGTCCTGTATCAGATAGACAATGGTTCAAAGGCTGCTGCAACATTAATTTGAAGCAGTCTCCTTCTTTATTTTGGCATTAGTTTCAGAAGGCCATCGTTTGGTCTACATCATGTCTGGATCTCCACTGGAACAAAGTGGCTCGAAGTGGCACTGACTCTGTATGTCTTTGGCTCCTCTTTTGTTTTTGTTAGCAACCAATGTTCCAATACAGTTGATTTTCAAGGCTGAAAAGTAATTACTCTAGTTGTAAAAACACGAGTTTCATAATATAAATTATAGACTATTCTGAGCTGTGGATCAGCCACCAATTTGTTGTTTCAGTACAAGAGTAATAGCGGCTTTCAATGAGAAATTAGATTTTAGGAAGCTGCACTTGCATACATGGACAGGAGGCCAAAGTACTGCAATACAAGTTGAAGGGAAAAGTCAGTCATTCACTTCACAGGTGTTGTAACTTCAGGCTGCACAAACAAAAATGAGGTACCACAAGAGATATTACATACATTAAAAGGTACCAATGATTTATACTATGTTGGCTTTAAAGTGCTTACCTTTACACACAAGACAACCATCTCTAAAGCAGCACTAATATGTCATGTCACATTATTTGTCTGAAAGGTCATCATCACTAACATGACATAAGGGCAAGAGAGAATACTTTTTCACAAAGCTCTGCTGCAAGAGGCCACACGTCTTAAAGTCTCCCTCTGTGAAAGGGAGATTCTTTAATAGACTGTTTTCAATCTCTTCAATATAGTTCTGCTTCAGCACAGCCGAGGAGCTAGACGATGAGCAGCAATCTTTACCCAGGCGGCTCTGCAATGTTGCCACGCTCTTGTTCATTTGGTCATCTGACACATTGTCGCAGTCCTGTTTAATTCCTTGTCCACTGAGCAGACTCATGGTCTCATCTGCTGAAAGTGTGTTGTTGTTCTGAACGTTGCTATGTCTCATATGTGGACTACTGTGTATGTCATTTGATACAGTCTCACTGATTATTTTGGCATTAGTCTCAAAAGGCGTTCTTGTGGTCTTGGCGATGTTGAGGCACATGTCTCCAGTCCCTCCTCTGTTTTTCTTAGGGGTGTGGTACTTACTCAGGTCAACAAGAATGCAGTCAGAGTCATTTTCACTAACTTCTGCGTCCATCTCTTCCTCAGAAGCCTCTGGCTCCGTGGCTTCTTCGCCTGACTTCCCAGCTCCACGTATAGGAGAATCAAACAACACCCCTTTGGGTAAAAGAGGCTGGAAATGTCTGCGGCGGGGGCTGGTGTTTGCGGAGGAGCTGAGTTGGCTCTCAGGCTGACTCAACATGTAGTGTCGGACACACTCAGGCACCAGGATTTCATGACGCTTTCTGCGAGGCAGTAAGGCAGAGAAGCTAGCAGGTACATGGTTTCCTACAATGGGTACAAGGGAGGTAGGTTTAAGTGCAGAGACAAAGTCCTCCAGCTCTTGGTAAGAGGAGTGGTCGGAGTAGGGAACCACATGGACATTTGGGTGAAAGGGCACCAGGGGCCTGCTGGTGGGCAAGATGGCCAGAGTGGGTTGTTCTTTGTCCCACTTGTGTACATTGGCAGAGCAGATCTTCGACTGCTCCACAACTCGGATACGACCGGCACCTGGTTCTGTTGTGAAGACGTCAGGCAGCTCAAGGGCTTTGAGGGTCTGCATTCTCTCAAAGCTCACCTCAACCCAGGTTTTAAACTCCTTTGCCAGCTCCACTAGCAAATACTCCTTGCCCAGTGCATACAGGCCTGCAAAGCAATGCAAGAGAGAAACAGGGGAAAGTAGAAGAAAAAAACATTGAAATCAAAAATAATAATAATAGCAATTTGAAAAGAAAAAACCCAATAAATAACATTTTTCTAAATGAGCATGCAGTTGTTTGTCAGAGGGTTTGTATTAAACAGCTGATCACTTCATATTATAACTTGCCCTGGCCAAGAGAAGAAAATAATAGACCCTTTTAATTAAGAGAAACTACTTTTAGTGCATGAAAACATTCCCTTTGTTGTCATCTTATTGTCTAGTGGTGACCATCTATATGTTCATACTTCTAATGCGACTAGTAAAACAAGACATAATGTAAAGAAATATCTAAATTAAATTACCTATGACAACATTGTGGTTTGGGTGTCTGCGGATGATCTCTTTGATTTGTTGAGTGGCTTGCTGTCTGGAGGGAAGGGTGCGGTTGGGGTCACAGTTGGTGTTGTCCAGGTACAGGACATCTATAGTGGTGTGGGTCCTCAAGCATGGCTCACGCAACATGGAGGGAGTGTATCTGAAGTCACCTGAAATGACAGTTACATCACATTATTCTGTTATCGATAAATTAACTGCACATATGATGCTAAATGTGACGTTTTAAAGCAGAAATCATTAGAGGAGGAAAAAACAGCTCAAGAAATCCTTCTACATCCTAAAAGAATCAGGTAAAACATGCTGCCCAGACACTCACCAGTGTACAGTATAGAGCCAAAGTAGCCTTCGAAGAGAAACATGACAGAGCCTGGACAGTGGTTGGCTTCTATCAGTGTGACTGTCAGCTTCTCCTTGCCGATGTCATCCATTGGCAACAGGTATGGCTCATCCAGCTCTAATGGGTGGATCCACTTTTCTTTCACCTGAGCAGAATCAGAAATAACGTGTAAAAGATAACTTCATTCAGTTATTTCCACTGTTGTTACACCCAAATGACAATTGTCTTATGTTGACTAAGTGAAAGAGGCCCACCAATTGAAAAAGTCCAAGGATGGTTCAGTCAATATACATTTGCTTAAATGATTGGATTTATAAAGCCATAAAAGAGTGGGCCGGGCATTTGAGTCCGAGTGCACAAGTCATGTGACCGCCCTCACCTGCAGCTTGAGTCTCAGCAGAGTGTCGGTGGTCGGTGAGCAGTAGATGGGCCGGTTGCTCCAGGTAGAAGTCAGACCCACCGTGTGGTCACTGTGCATGTGGGACAGGAAAAACAGCCGTGTGCCTGGACACTTCCGCACCTGCCAGAAGTCCACGGCCAGCGGGGTGTGCGGGATGACTTTCCCGTTGACTGACATTGTCTACAGTTTGCTGGATATGCAACAACTACCAGTGCAACAGGTGAGGCAACACGACACGGACGATAACCGGTGTCCAAATGGCAACTGCTATTCGGTTATTTTTCGACAGGCATGTGTGTACTAAATTGTGGGTACAGCTAAGGTTGCTTCAGTGAATCTACACGTCACAAGTATTGCATTAATTGATCTCGGTGATAAAATATTGCAGCTAACAGAAGGGACCCCTGACGTTGCTAAACAGAACACAATGTGGCTATCTGTAGTTAGCATTAGCCGGCTAAATACCATACTTGCTCATTGTTGATAAGCGACGCCATTCTTTTTGCTATCAGAACATCCCCTGTCCAACTTCACAAGCAGAAGGCTCCGTTACATGTTGACGGTGATAATAACAAAAACAACATCCCCGCCATTTCTGTTTTCAATTCAACACTAAACGCCTCTTCCTGTTTTCATTCTTCATTCTGTAGCTGTCGTCCTGATCTCTGAACCACATCGCCACCTGGAGGAGTAACCGTGGTAGACCCATAGGTGAACTCCGTTGCCGTACAAAAACATCTAAATGTAGAAGGTAAACAAATATATATTTACCAAATAAAACATTAATATGAAGCACATTTCCCTTAGAAAGAGATGAGACTGAGAAGGACACACAACTTAACTGAGAAACCAGTCAAATTGAGTGTCGTAGAGTGAAACGGATCTGATATAGTGAATTTTACTATGAAATTACAAAAGGCAATACTAAGATTTATAAAATATTCAAATATATATTCTAGATATGTTGATTAATCTAATACTTTTTTAAATAATTCCAAGCTTTTCATTACAATGCAATCCAGCTGTGAACACATCCATTCTCTTTATTAATATTAACAATATTGCAATAAGGTGGTTCAAAAATAAATGTACATTAAGAAGCATCTTCCTGAAAATGATTGAATTGTGGTTTACTCTCCAGAAGATGGCGCCAAGAGAGAGGAAGCAGTTTCGATTTTTGTTGAAATAGAAAATGTGTCCATTGACATTTATTTATAAATATCCCACAAATTGAGAAAATATAAAAATATTCTTAAACACATGGTAAACGTTAACATTACACTATCGTTATTTCATCCAAATAATAACGTAAAAATATGTTTTGAACCTGTTGTGGAAACTTTCACTCGTCAACAATCTGGAGATGTAATACAAATAATAAAGTTGGTTCGATGCAAATCAAAGTTGTCTTAGTAGTTCTTTATTCAAGCTTGAAGGTACAGGTCATGCAGAGTACAGAGTAGTCTGCAGGAGTGGACACATAGGCAAATGTGTGCGTGTGATTTATAGAGGACTGTTGCTGTGCAGGCAAAAAGAGATAACACTTTCTCCTGACTGTTATCTTGCAATGCTCTCATAAGGAACAAGAGCCGCATTGTTCAAGTACGACCTTGGCAGGAAGCTATCGTGGGATACAACAGGTCGAGTTGACCAAACAATTTCTCAGTATAATATCATCATTTGGATTTACCATATAAAGTAATATAAGAAATTGCCACTACATTCCCCCCTTTTGATCATACTTTGATCAATCATGAAAATAAAAGAAATGACAGGATAGACTGATATAACACATCAATGAATACACCCCATCGCTGGTTTAAGTAAACACATCACAAACATATCATGGAAAGTGGCTGTTTTTGTGGAGGACAGACTCCGCGGTATTGTAAGCATAAGAGGAGGGTTTAAGCTATGTTACAATGTATATACAATTTATTTCTGTAAAGGGAAAAGTTAGACTCCAGTGTCTGAGTCTGGGTCATCTGACCATGGGTTTTCTACATGTACGTCTGTTAGGCTGTCATGAACTTTTATCCCTAGCCATGGGTGTATGAGGTATAGGAATAATGCAAAAACAAACGCCATGGTGAATATGCAACATATCCATTCGACTACTGTCCATCTTCTGTAACAGGTTTTACACTTTTCTCTAAGCTCACAATTGTGTTGGCGCATCTCTAGGGCGTTAGCTCATTCTTGTCGGAGGGACTCCATCTTCAGTTATTCGCAAATGTTCAGGCACAAAGTTTATGTTGGTGTCGTCGTCTCCTTAGTGGATGTGTCTAGTCCAGTGGTTCTCAAAGTGGGGGGCGCGCCCCCCCAGGGGGGCGCAGAGGCATGACAGGGGGGGCGCGAGAGACCAGGAGAAAAAATGGTTATTAAATTATTATTTTTTTAAAGATTTAAAATAAAAAAAAATAAAATCATATTTTGAAAAATTATTGATTCGCAAATAATATGATACAGTACTATTACGTCTGGGTGTCTGTGTTTCATTAAAGCTCGGCTCTGTGTGTGTGTGGAACGAGCCATTTTGTGTGCGTGCACGAGCGAGAGAGAGAGAGCGCACCGGTACCGGAGATCGTTGTTGTTAGCTTCTGGTGCTAGCGAGCTACGCTAACAGATATATGGAGTTTTTTCAACAACAAAGTGGAGGAGAGTCCTCCCCTGTCAGACTGAGAGACTCAGTGAGCTAAAGGACTCTCTCAGTGGGTCTCAAACGTTTTGGTCACCATTAATATAAATAAATTAAAAACAATTATGAAATACTATATGACATAAAAAAATGTATAACGTTTAAAAGGGGAGTGATTTGTAAAATATCCATAAAGAAATAGTAAATCTGTTTACAGTTCTGTGTTGAGAGATGTATCCATACTGTAGATCTCTTCATGTTGCTCTCAAAGTGCACCAGATTGATGCTTTTAACTTCAATATTTAAAAATAAATCTTCCCGGGGGAGCATGCCCCCGGACCCCCCTATGTGAGGTCCACACACCACCTATAAAAATAGCACTTTACCCCTGCTTACACCTATATGCCGTGAGCTGATTATTGAGCCTTCATTGTAACAGTTGCGGGTGCACTGTGTGTATGCGTGGGGATTGTTGCAGTAGAACATTCCTCTGTAGCGCCCGGTACATTAATGGGAAACCCTAAATGTTTGAGCACCCTCTATGAAACGTCAAGCTACCCCACAGTACCCCCAAAATAAATCTTTGGCGCCGCCACTGAGCCTGACTATTTGTGTTGGGGGGGGGGCCCGACTTTTTTTTTTCTCCAAAGGGGGGGCCTGACAGAAAAAGTTTGAGAACCACTGGTCTAGTCTGACTGAGCCCGTGCCTTCATGACCATATCAATTAAGCCCCACACAATGACGGCACAGACAAGGAACCAGAGGCATATGAAACAGCACAGCTGGCCCTCGCCCATGATTCTTGTGTGTGGTACTAGGGTGTATGTACTGCGTGTGTGGTGCTGGTGGTGACTTGGCACGTCACTTGTCGTCGTCTGTTTCTACTGGACCGGCTAGACTGGGGTGGAGATGACAGCTTTGCAGTGGCTGGCGTGGACCCACGTGGCTCTCTCGGCGACCTTGACCGCTGTCTGGGTGACGAGAAGCACCTGGTAGGGACCTTGCCAACGGTTGGATTTCCAGCTCTTTCTCAGGAAGTCCTTGACCAGCACGAAGTCGCCTGGTTGGATACGGTGGAGTGGACCAGTAGCAGGGGTAGGTAGAGCTGCCGCTACCTGGCGTCTGATATCTGCTAAATTGGATGACAGGTTAACACAATATGACAACATTGAGTCTTCACACAGGCTTGTGGAAGGAAGGGGACATCCTGGCGCCTTGGTCCCAATCTGTGGAGGGGCTGCAAAAAGGATCTCAAAAGGGCTGAGTTGACTCTGTGTTCGTTTCTGCATCCTCATGTACATCAGCACAATGGGCAGGGCTTGTGTCCAGGACTCCCGGCTAAGTTTGATGAAATCCAGCATTAGGAGCTAAAATCATATGGTTGGTTGGTGGTGCTCCTGTTCCGTCTCGCTCGACCGGACCCTCCTCCTCCTCCGCACGTCAGTCTGAAGTTCCCCCTTGTTGTTGATTTCCCCGGTTCTGGTTCCATACGGCTTTTGGACAGTCATTGACCCAGTGGTCTTTGGATCGGCAGATGAAACAGCTTCCATCTTCCCTTGCTTCTTGGTTGGTTTGGCGGCCTCTGCCCCGTCCTCCATGGGTGTTTTGTCCCTCGCCACCGCGTCCTCTGCCTCTGAAACCACCTCTACCGTCTGTACCCTCCTCGGCCACGGTTATTGCCTTGGGGTTGGTATGACCAACCTGTTACAGCTTGGACCATGGTCAGTTGGGCTTTGTCTTTCCTGTCACGTCTTTTCTTGTCGTCGTTGACCTTTTCTTCGTTGAGGCGGTGTTGGGCGTGTACGGCATGTCTGCGCAATTCTTCAAGTCTGGCGCCATCCATCACTCCAATGCAGGTTTGTTTTACAGATGTGGAGATGGGGGCTGCGAGACCGTTGAGGAAAGTGTGGCTGAGGTGGGCCTCCCACACGCCTGTCTCAGGGGTGGGGTAGCCTTCAGGCTTGGCGATGCCGCTGTTTTCGTTGAAAACTTGATGCAGACGATGATAATAGTCATTTACTGATTCTTCTGCATTTTGTTTACAGGCAAAGATCTTTGACATGTCAAATTTGGCTGGAAACTTGGCTTTGATGGCGTCGGTGAGGGCGTTGCGGTGTGGGGCGTTGTCTGCATGGTCCCATTGTGGTTTCTTCAACCCGGTTTGACCGGCCAGCAGTGCTGTGAAATGGCTGGCATGTGTTGGCCCGATTTTGAATGTCAGTAATTTTTTTATCTCAGGCATGGTAAGAGATAACTGTTGGCAGAACAGGAGTAGGGCTTTGGCAAATTTGTCGCCGTCTTGTTGAATTTCAGGGAGATGTTCCAACACTTCCTTCATTTCTTTCATTGTCCAGGGGCAGTAAACAACAGCTGGACCCTCTGGTCCAATTGTTTGAATCTTGGCAAATGCTTGTTGTACCGTGGAGTCGGCTCCTTCCTCCTCCTCTTCTTCTTCGTCTTCTTCTTGTCTGCGGCGGGGGCTGGTGTTTGCGGAGGAGCTGAGTTGGCTCTCAGGCTGACTCAACATGTAGTGTCGGACACACTCAGGCACCAGGATTTCATGGCGCTTTCTGCGGGGCAGTAAGGCAGAGAAGCTAGCAGGTACATGGTTTCCTACAATGGGTACAAGGGAGGTAGGTTTAAGTGCAGAGACAAAGTCCTCCAGCTCTTGGTAAGAGGAGTGGTCGGAGTAGGGAACCACATGGACATTTGGGTGAAAGGGCACCAGGGGCCTGCTGGTGGGCAAGATGGCCAGAGTGGGTTGTTCTTTGTCCCACTTGTGTACATTGGCAGAGCAGATCTTCGACTGCTCCACAACTCGGATACGACCGGCACCTGGTTCTGTTGTGAAGACGTCAGGCAGCTCAAGGGCTTTGAGGGTCTGCATTCTCTCAAAGCTCACCTCAACCCAGGTTTTAAACTCCTTTGCCAGCTCCACTAGCAAAGACTCCTTGCCCAGTGCATACAGGCCTGCAAAGCAATGCAAGAGAGAAACAGGGAAAAGTAGAAGAAAAAAACATTGAAATAAAAATAATAATAATAGCAATTTGAAAAGAAAAAACCCAATAAATAACATATTTCTAAATGAGCATGCAGTTGTTTGTCAGAGGGTTTGTATTAAACAGCTGATCACTTCATATTATAACTTGCCCTGGTCAAGAGAAGAAAATAATAGACCCTTTTAATTAAGAGAAACTACTTTCAGTGCATGAAAACATTCCCTTTGTTGTCATCTTATTGTCTAGTGGTGACCATCTATATGTTCATACTTCTAATGCGACTAGTAAAACAAGACATAATGTAAAGAAAGATCTAAATTAAATTACCTATGACAATATTGTGGTTTGGGTGTCTGCGGATGATCTCTTTGATTTGTTGAGTGGCTTGCTGTCTGGAGGGAAGGGTGCGGTTGGGGTCACAGTTGGTGTTGTCCAGGTACAGGACATCTATAGTGGTGTGGGTCCTCAAGCATGGCTCACGCAACATGGAGGGAGTGTATCTGAAGTCACCTGAAATGACAGTTACATCACATTATTCTGTTATCGATAAATTAACTGCACATATGATGCTAAATGTGACGTTTTAAAGCAGAAATCATTAGAGGAGGAAAAAACAGCTCAAGAAATCCTTCTACATCCTAAAAGAATCAGGTAAAACATGCTGCCCAGACACTCACCAGTGTACAGTATAGAGCCAAAGTAGCCTTCGAAGAGAAACATGACAGAGCCTGGACAGTGGTTGGCTTCTATCAGTGTGACTGTCAGCTTCTCCTTGCCGATGTCATCCATTGGCAACAGGTATGGCTCATCCAGCTCTAATGGGTGGATCCACTTTTCTTTCACCTGAGCAGAATCAGAAATAACGTGTAAAAGATAACTTCATTCAGTTATTTCCACTGTTGTTACACCCAAATGACAATTGTCTTATGTTGACTAAGTGAAAGAGGCCCACCAATTGAAAAAGTCCAAGGATGGTTCAGTCAATATACATTTGCTTAAATGATTGGATTTATAAAGCCATAAAAGAGTGGGCCGGCATTTGAGTCCTAGTGCACAAGTCATGTGACCGCCCTCACCTGCAGCTTGAGTCTCAGCAGAGTGTCGGTGGTCGGTGAGCAGTAGATGGGCCGGTTGCTCCAGGTAGAAGTCAGACCCACCGTGTGGTCACTGTGCATGTGGGACAGGAAAAACAGCCGTGTGCCTGGACACTTCCGCACCTGCCAGAAGTCCACGGCCAGCGGGGTGTGCGGGATGACTTTCCCGTTGACTGACATTGTCTACAGTTTGCTGGATATGCAACAACTACCAGTGCAACAGGTGAGGCAACACGACACGGACGATAACCGGTGTCCAAATGGCAACTGCTATTCGGTTATTTTTCGACAGGCATGTGTGTACTAAATTGTGGGTACAGCTAAGGTTGCTTCAGTGAATCTACATGTCACAAGTATTGCATTAATTGATCTCGGTGATCAAATATTGTAGCTAACAGAAGGGACCCCTGACGTTGCTAAACAGAACACAATGTGGCTTATCTGTAGTTAGCATTAGCCGGCTAAATACCATACTTGCTCATTGTTGATAAGCGACGCCATTCTTTTTGCTATCAGAACATCCCCTGTCCAACTTCACAAGCAGAAGGCTCCGTTACATGTTGACGGTGATAATAACAAAAACAACATCCCCGCCATTTCTGTTTTCAATTCAACACTAAACGCCTCTTTCTGTTTTCATTCTTCATTCTGTAGCTGTCGTCCTGATCTCTGAACCACATCGCCACCTGGAGGAGTAACCGTGGTAGACCCATAGGTGAACTCCGTTGCCGTACAAAAACATCTAAATGTAGAAGGTAAACAAATATATATTTACCAAATAAAACATTAATATGAAGCACATTTCCCTTAGAAAGAGATGAGACTGAGAAGGACACACAACTTGACTGAGAAACCAGTCAAATTGAGTGTCGTAGAGTGAAACGGATCTGATATAGTGAATTTTACTATGAAATTACAAAAGGCAATACTAAGATTTATAAAATATTTAAATATATATTCTAGATATGTTGACTAATCTAATACTTTTTTTAATAATTCCAAGCTTTTCATTACAATGCAATCCAGCTGTGAACACATCCATTCTCTTTATTAATATTAACAATATTGCAATAAGGTGGTTCAAAAATAAATGTACATTAAGAAGCATCTTCCTGAAAATGATTGAATTGTGGTTTACTCTCCAGAAGATGGCGCCAAGAGAGAGGAAGCAGTTTCGATTTTTGTTGAAATAGAAAATGTGTCCATTGACATTTATTTATAAATATCCCACAAATTGAGAAAATATCAAATGTAAAAAATATTCTTAAACACATGGTAAAGGTTGACATTACACTATCGTTATTTCATCAAAAATAATAACATAAAAATATGTTTTGAACCTTTCCTAATATAAAAGGTAAATCATTTTATTACAGAAAATAAACAAAAAACCCTACAATGTGCAATATGTGCTAGTATTTATCTAATTGTGATATTCAATGATAGATTGTTTCCACTTCTGAATATTTGGCTCATCTGGCATGACGTTTTTATAAATACAGAATATCCTGAATGTAATTTTCCTGAACACCATCACATTCAACTATCTGTAATATTTTATATGTGTATTTCATTTTTAATATACTTAGATGGAGTTATTATAAAATGGTGACAGTGACCCATTGTAGCCCCCTCCCCCAATGTTTGCACACTACTCACTTTTCAGGATTATACCTTGGATTGCTGCATATTCCTCTGTTATCGCACAGCTTCTTTATATTCAGAGGCACATTAATCATACTCTGCTTTGTAGTTAATTATCTATCTTTCCTACACACACAGTCACACATGCAGCTTACTCTACAGACAACATTGTGGTAAAGAGCAGAGGAGTGGGTCGAGCTCAGTCAGGGAAGTCCCTGTTACTATTCACATCTTATGCTTTGAGAGAGGTTACACAGCTGGGTGCCTTTTTAGATTAGTGTGAACTGTGTGGTGTGATTTCACGCAGTCAAGACAGAGACAAGGCAGCAGGTGATTGGTTACAATTCACTTCAATTGCACCATGTAAAATTGAGTTTTTTTAGGTAAATACATAGTACATATTTCACCTTGTATAGAATAATAGAGAGTACAAGTATACCTGACACATACAGTAAAAAAAAAAAAGGCCGCTGCTGATCTAAAAAGTCCTTTTATTTATCAATGAGCCTAGATTCTTAGTGAAAGGCTTTGGGATAATTTGTATAGCACCCATGATAACTTTATGTATACCACATCTTTTATCTTTTATCCGTCAGCAAGACATCAACAATTCCACAAACTATTGAGCACCCTCACTCACAATGGAAATCTCACTCCTAGATCATGCGTTTCATTTTACCAGCACATACACAAAACCAATGGGCAGAATGACAGAAATGCAAGCACAGTGAAAAAGCAGCAACAATGTTCACATTCATCAAGGCAAAGGTTGCTGAGGTCAGAAGGATGAGTTGTCTTCTCTTACCTCATTCACACCAACGGTGTTTCCGGGCCGGTTCGGAGCTGGAGCTTGAAAACTAGTGATGTTACGTATTGCGCCGAGGCTTCGGAGCGTGTGTCGAGTAATACCCGAAGCTTTTTGTGAAGCATGTATCGAGGCTTGTATCGTTTTGGCCCAGTGACGTCATCGATGACAAACGAAGCCTCGCTGCCTGTCGTTACCACGTGACTGCTTCACGAAGCGATTCAGATCGGTTGAACCGTTGAACCACAACGCTCATAATACCCATGGATGTATACTAAGAATCATATTACCCCTCCTGTACCCGGGCCCGGTGACACGATGGAATCAAGAGAGCTCAGACCCTCACTTATATAGAGGTCGGAACATGTCATAAGTATAAATAGATACAAGCATGAATAAATGTAGGAATAAAAACATGAACAAATAAATGAATAAATACAGGAATAAATATGTTGCAGTGTTTTCAGGGAGCTTTAGTGTGTGCTGTGGCTCAGCTGGAAAGCAGTTGACTCATGACCGCAGGGTCCCTGGTTCAGCGACTGAACAATACGTATTTTTTGTTGTTTATAAAAGCTACAGCTAAATGAGATAATGTAGTTAATAAATGTAGTCTTTGATATGGTTTAGCCTTTCTCAGGCTACAACATGGTTAAGTTTATGAATATTATTAAGGAATACAAATCCCTCTTTGCAATGTTTACCAGCCTCCTTAGGCTTTTCAATCACAATCATTAAACTGGAATAAATACAATATTGTTAATATGAAAATATGATTTTATGTTCATTGTTTAGAGTTATTCTAAGGCTTTACTCATTGGGAACTCGGTATGAGAGAGCACACTGTTGAGATGTCCAATCTGCCTGTTTTACACACTTTGACAGGGGGGTTTGTGTTCAAATGAAGCCCATGATGAAGCCTCATGAGATGAACCCTTTTGCGAACCAATTGGCTGGAAAGCTTCAAAGCTTCATAAGAGGCGCATTCACACCGCAGTACTTTTCCCACAAAGGTTCGTGAGAACTTAGTTCATGAGAACTCTTTTGTCGCGTTCACACCAAAAAGAGCCGGTACTAAAATTAGTTCATGAGAACCTTTTTACCCCCACCAGGGACTTTCGTGCGGCTCTCTTGTGAGAAAAGAGCTATATTTCTGATTGGCTGGGCGGATTGCAAACCACGCCCCGTAAAACTCCCAAAAAGTTTTGTGACGCCGCCATTTTATTATTCTCGCATTAGCATTATTAGCATTAGCATTAGCCCAACGCAGAGAGACTAACTTATGGCAACACAAAATAAAACATGGGAGCGGTGGAGATGAGAAGGTGTCGGCGTTCTGGCGATTTACTCGGAAGGCTTCAGTAGAAGCTGCTGGGAGTCCCAGCAGCTTCTACTGAAGCCAGTCCCCAACTCCGGGGACTTCCGGCCGGGGACTTTGGGCGGCAGTATACGCCGTGAAGTGGTTTGCGGCCTGCCAGTAAACCCAAAGCAGAAGAAGAAGAAGAAGAAGTAGTGACGTCAGCGGCTTCATTTGCCTAATCCACCCCCAGGGACTTATTCCGGTGTGAACGCGATGAGAACTAAAGAGTTTCATGAACTAAGTTCTCATGAACCTTTGTGGGAAATGTACTGCGGTGTGAATGCGCCTAAGGCTTCATCTCACCATCACTATTGAAAAGCACAGAGTTTTCCTGTTCACACCGCAGCGGAGCAGCCTCTTAGCTCCGGAATCCGGTTTGTTTCAAGCACCAAATTTTTTTCCGGCTAGAACAAAAGCACCGCATACGTCACGCTTACATCGAGGCGGGGGCAGGGGCGGGATCAACTCCTGAACAATAACAAAAAGCCCGCGTTTTATCCAGCTTGTACACAACGATGGAGAAACTTAACAAGCAGCAGTGGTCCACTGAAGAGACCGGATACCTACTGGGAATCTGGTGTTCCGAAGAGGTACAGAGGAAGCTGGAGCACAATCGGCCATTGTTGTTGTTGTCGGTGTCAGCTGTGAGGGGTTTCCGCGCGGTTTGGCTTTATGAAGCAGGAACGCAAACGGTTACGTCATGACGCAAACGATGACGCAATGACACAGCACCAGTCGGACTCTGGGCGGTGTGAAAAGAGCCGGAGCTAAACCGAAGAACCGGTTCTGAACCTGAAAAGCTCTAGCACGGAGCTTGAACCGGAGTTGCGTTGGTGTGAATGAGGTATCTGTCATGTTGTTATGCAGAGAAAACAAAAGTGGTGTCAGATGCTACAACAGCAGATGGCTGCACAGTCTGTGATCTGCCACTACCGTTTGAACAGCAATGCTTTAAATCCACCATACACTTTTACTGACCTCAGTAAGTAAGTAATGTCATTTTTTCCATTCATTCGTCTATTTACTAAACTGGAACTCTATACTATAACTAGTACTAGTTCAATGCCCAAATTACAGGAGGTGAAACATTTGTTAAAGTCAAAATATGTCTTAAAATACTATTTTTGAATAAATTATTGTGGTGCTGCAGAGATGATCCTAGTCTCCACAGACTTGTTTAGTGCAGATCCTCACAAAAATCACAGCATTATAATTTAAATGTGTTTTTCAAATAATTGTAATAAAAAAACGGAGAATAAAGATGCAAAAATGATCATATCCTCTATTACCCTGGCCTGAACCATAAAAAAACGTCCCATGCATGACCTCTTGTGGATTCTCATATGTCATGCATCACTATGTATTGATCCTCCATGAAAAATGAGGAACGTGCGCTATCTCCATTGCCCTCATTTATCTGAGTCAACACATACAGTCAGAAGCAGTGACAGCTTTATTTCTTACATCCCCCAGGATGCACTGGTTCTGTACACACACATATTTATGGTCATGTGTGTGAAGCCAAAGATGCCAGCCAAAACGAGCTGGTGAGAAGACACATTCTCATCCTCGCATGCACTTTGACTTATTCCATCTGCCTTTCTCTGTTTATCACTCTGTCACTCTTGTTCTTCCAGTCTCTCTCTGTACGGATATGTTTTTGTTTTGTTTTCCTGACTTGATCCCCTCCACTCTGTCATCCTCAATAGGGCTTCATGAGGTTTTTGTTTGTGCTTTTTCTGTTTTATTTTGACACGCTGGGATTGGACTGCTATCTAAATCTCTTTACAGACAGGTTTTGAGACTGCCTTCATTTCCTTTCCACTGTAACACCTAGTGTCGGAGGTGGAGGAGCTCTATGTGGGGCCAGGCTTCAACGCTCCACGATATACTGCGGGTTATGAGAGCTCGCTGATTCCAACACTTATCTGATTTGATTAGCCCAGTTCATTAGGGTTTCAGTAGCGGACGGTGAGGCATGCAGTCATCCTGCTGAAGATCCTCCACCGACCAGCGAAGGATTCCGTTTTAGGGGCCGCATTATGCAAAGGATTGTACTCGTAGCCTGCTGTCATTGCAAACGCTGCATACTGAGAGAAAGTGACTCTAATTGTCCTCCTGGAGGGCTCCACGTCTTTTTGAATTTCTCTTGGTAGGTAGACATAGGAAAAATCACTGCAGACGAGGGCTGCAAGCTCTGAAAAACCGTGCAGTCCTAATCAGCATCATAAGTAATTAAATCTCTCTATCTATGAGGGGAAGCTGAGCCCGGGTCATTAATCAACTATATCCGTTTTTGATCAAAACAGATGCTACCGCTGCTACTAAAGGCGAAAGTAAAAGTATATTCATCCTCTGCAGTACAGGAGAGAATAACAGTGTGAACCAAATGAATATTGCATGAGAAACATGCTGTAATACTTTT